TATGTTACTAAAATATTTTTTTTTTAATTTTGGCTGCCTTTTCAGTTAATACAATGGTTATTTCTAGTTATTCTTGCCATTTTTGTTTTTTGACATTATAACATGCATCCTGAATCACCTATAGAATTTTTTTACTGAGTGACTATTTTTAAGAATAGTGTAGTAAAAGGTCTAGCAAGGTCTAGCAGTTTATTCAAAACATAACACAGAAGGCGTGAAGAAGGACTAGAAACCTGTCCACTAGGGAAAGATTGAAATGGAGCCATGCCCACACCATGGTGGGTGAGGCTTATTTCCATATGGTCTTGGCAACCTCCTATCACAATTTGGGCAAAGAGTGACCTCCTAGGAGTCCATCTGGCTTCTGATGGGGGACAGCAATGAAGAACCTAAAATGTAGGCCAACAGAGAAACTTATCCTTGTGAACTTGGTTTAGGACAAGGCTCCAACTTCGGTCTTAGATGTAGGAGCATTGAAAATAAAATAGAAATATTGCATAGGTCTGGGGATTTGGGCAGTTGGAAGGGAGACTGGCAGTTATGTGCAGGGTGGGGAATGACAAAGGATGGCAATGATGAGCTCTGGGTCAGTCTCTCCGTGACAATTACCTCACTGGTAAGATTCAGTAAACAGCATTTATTCTGTATCAAAACTCATTTCTGATTTTTTTGGTAGGTAATAAAGGGCATGATGGTATAATGAAAGGAGCACAGACTTTGTAGGCAGAAAACTTGGGTTCAAATTCTGAGTCTTCTACTTACTCACTATGACAAAAACTGCTGGCAAGTCACCAAAATCCTCTTTTACCTGGACACCCAACTAGGCTGCATTTCCCAGCTTCTCTTACAGTCATACTACATACAACTGAGTTCTAGCTAACAGAATGACAACGGAAGCAATGTAAGGGGTACCTGGGTGGCTCATTCGGTTGTGCGTCTGACTCTTGATTTCAGCTCAGGTCATGATCTCACAGTCATTGGGTCAAGCCCCATATCAGGCTCCAGGCTGGGCATGGAGCCTGCTTGAGATTCTCTCTCTCCCTTTCCCTTTGCCCTTCTCCTACGCATGCACGCTCACTCTCTCTTTTTCAAAAAAAAAAAAAAAAAAAGGCAATGCTGATGTGATTTTTTTGACCAAACAAAGATGCTTAAGAGTTGTCTCAGAGGACAACTAGGCATTTGCCACCCCCATTGTATTATAGGGCATGCGCTGTGCCCCTAGTCAAAAAATAAAAAAGGAGCAACCCTCACAGCTCTCTTGAATTCTAGGTTCTCAGCCGAGAACAAACTGAGCACATGCTGCTAATCTCTCCTCCCACCATTAACTACCAGGAAAGAGAGATTTTCTTTTTAATGTACAAATCCATAACAGGAGACAATAGGAGGGGGGTTTGCCCATTTTTAACTCACTGAAGGCACTCCTTGTCTGACGTATGGAACAGAATTAAAGAAAACCAGAATTTCAAGCCCTCATAGAAGATGATGACTACTAAGAAAGAGCCAGGTTGAAGGGCTTTCTGGTGATTAAGGTGGGTACTTCAGTAGAAATAGCCAATCAGTTCAACTTGCCATCATCATGTCTACTCGTGGGCAAAAGAGAGCCGCACAGGTGTCTTCCCCAAGGAGGAACCAATATGCACGGAAGGCTCGGAGAGGCAGCACAGTCTCCTAAGTGTCTGGCATATCCACCACGTTCAAAAGATCACAGAGCCCAATGCTTAAAGTTTCTCCCTGAGGCCACAGCAATCAAAAGCCAACGATACAGCTATAAAACACCAACCTGGGGGCCCCTGGGTGGCTCAGTCGGTTAAGCCTCCGATTTTACTCAGGTCATGATCTCACGGATCTCCCCAGTTCAAGCTGCTTTGGATTCTGTGTCTGCCTCTCTCTCTGCTCTTCCCCCACTCATGCTCTCTTTCTCTCTCTCCCAAAAACATTAAAAAATGTAAAAAAAAAAATTTTTTTTAAACACCAACCTGAACATATTATTATGAACCAAGTCAACAACAATTTCCAAGTTTTATTTTAGGAAAAGCTAAACATGAACTTCATTAACTAATTAAAGGTATCCACAAAATGCCAAAAGTAAACAGGACATAATATTTGATAAAAATAAGAAATAAGGCAACAATGGTTTCTTTGCTATCACTTCTTAATTAAAACAGTGCAATGAAGTGTTTTGCCAGAGCAATGAGACAATAAATGAAAAGTAGTTTTAAAACTCTCTAAAATAGAAATGAACTGAAAATATGGAAAACTTTTTTAAGGAAGTCATAAAATTATCCCAAATGACAGAAATAATCATCTGAATAAAGAAATTCATTATAATTCTCTAGAATTCAGTCTTAAATTTAATATAATCCAAATCCAAATTCCAGTAGGATTTTTTTAAGTTTTTTTAAGTTTTTTTATTCATTTCAAGAGAGACAGAGAGACAGCAGGGGAGGGGCAGAGAGCAAGGGAGACAGAGAATCCCAAGCAGGCTCCCCACCATCAGCGCAGAGGCCAATGTGGGGCCCAAACCCACAAAACATGAGATCATGATCTGAGTCAAGATCAAGAATCAGACACTTAACTCACTGAGCTCCTCCAGTAGGATCTTTGAAGGAATTTGACAGGCTGATTCAAAAATTAATCATAAGGATATCAAAAATATTTTTGAAAAAGAAGAACAAAGAGGATTATCAAAACATACTAACAATGTAAGGAAAATTAAACCTGACTATTAAAATAATGGGGCACCCAGGTGGCTCAGTCGGTTAAGTATCCGACTTCAGCTTACATCATGATCTCACAGTTCATGGGGCTGAGCCCCACATCAGGCTCTGTGCTGACAGCTCAGAGCCTGGAGCCTGCTTCAGATCCTATGTCTCCCTCTCTCTCTGTCCCTTCCCCACTTGCGCGCTCTCTCTCTCTCTCTCTCTCTCAAAAATAAATAAACATAAAAAAATTTTTAAATACTTCTCATGTATCATATTTGTATTCCTGCCGGGGAAATTTGCAGTGATATTATCTTGTTTCTGGTCATATTGTGGAAATTTTTTTTTTTAGTACTGTCTAGAATAAGCTCTCCTCAGTTCCAGCAGACATATATCTTACTTGCCAATTTGTTCATCTCTTTATCAGATATTGGTCTCACTGAGATTTAGAGCAAACATTGTACAACCCCTCCACAGGACAGTATTTCAACCTTCTAGACAGGCTACTGACATACAAGGTTACAGTGCTTCCACATGGCAAGAGGGAAATGGTCCTCAGCAAACTTTCAGCCAACTGAAATCGTTCTCAGTTATTCCATCTTCTTCAATAACAAGAAAAAGAAAAGTATAATTTTTAAAGACTTTTTTAGAGCAATTTTACATTCACAGCAACATAAAGAGGAAGGTACAAAGGGGCGCCTGGGTGGCTCAGTCGGTTAAGCATCCAACTTTTGATTTCAGCTTAGGTCATGATCTCACAGTTCGTGAGTTCGAGCCCCGCATCTGGCTCTGCGCTGTGTGGAGCCTGCTTGGGATTCTCTCTCCCTCTCTCTGAGACCCTCCTTGCTTGTGCTCTCTCTCACTCTCAAACAAATATAAATAAATGTAAAAAAAAGAGGAAGGTACAGAGAGTTCCCATAATATCCCCCCCCCCCGCACCCACCCACACACATAGCCTCCCTCGTTATCAGCATCCCCCACCAGTGTATTTGTTATAACCTGTGAACCTACACAGACACATCATTATCCTCCTAAGTCCACTCTTAACGTTATACATTCTGTGGGTTTGGGCCAATGTATAATGACACGTACCCATCATTACAGCATCACACATCCAGTATTCTGCCCTAAAAATCTCTGCTCTGCCCAACGATTCCTCCCTCCCCTCCAGCAACCACTGCTCTTTCTGCTGCCTTTGCCAAGTATATCAGGAGAAAAAAAATTTAATGAAGAATGCCTTGAAAATCATGATTGATTTTAGCCTCTGTTAAAGTCAGACTGATCAACCAAATTCACCAGTTGTATTTTTTTCCACTGACAGTATTTTTCCATATCGTTGTCTCATTTATTTTCTGTCATCAAAAAGCACTTAAAATACCACTGACCCCCTCCAGAACCAGTTCATGGATGAAAGGCCCTGACTGGCTACTAATGCATCAGGTTTATAACCTTTTTTTTTTTTTTTTTTTTAAGCACCATTTTCAAGTCCAAGAGTTTCAAAAAGACTACTTTTTACAGAATAGTTTGGGAAGTCTGTAGGTGAGGGAAGTTATTTTTGAGAGAAGACTGAAGATAAGACAGTAGAAGTTTAAGATAAAACTTTTCCATCAAGGGTTTTAGTCTATTATCATGAAATTGAAACAGAAGATGAATCGTCCTCCTTTCCACTTATGCTATGAATGTCATCTTTTCAATTTATAGCGTCTTATGGTTCTTGAGAAAACTGCTCTGCTCATTGTCTCTCAGGCAGAAGTTGCCCCGAGCATGGAGACAGCAGGGAGGTTATGAGGATACTAGAACAGAACAGCGGTCTGGAGAAACCAAGCCTTGAGGAAAGAATATTATTTTTTAAAAAATTTAAACGGTCCATATTATTTTCTATTCTCAAGATAATTAAATTTAATCATTGTGTTGAGCTCCCTAAATAGACAAGGTTTTTATTCACTCAGCCTCAGCATAAGCAGAAACGGAGAGCACACATAAGCCAGGAAGACATAATTTGGAGTCAAGAGCATCAGATTTTGAATTCCATCTCTTCCAGGTCCTAGCTGATAACCTTGTACAGGTTTCATACCATTCTTTGTGACTGCATTTCCACATCTGTTAAATGGGATTGCAAATACGTCCTTCATTGGCTGTCATGAGTCTTATGTGAGATAATGTCTTCTTTGCACTGTCAGGCACATACTAATAAGAACTCAACAGATGACAACTGTTGCTATGCACTTTGTATTTTTTAAATCACAATGAAGATTCAGAAAATGTATCCCTGGGACTAATAAAATCCACTCACTCAGTTTAGGCCAATTTCTTCTTGCTTCAATCTCTGCAGTCCTGGATGGAATACACACCATGACACCTACAAATTACCCCAATTAGGCAAGAAGTAATTTAACCCAGAAGGCCAGGTCAGTCCATTTATTGATAGAATTTACTGAAACAGTTATTTTGGATTAGATGATGAATCTGAAAAAGGCACCCTTTATATATCACATTTCTCCAATAATGAAACACCCAAACTGAATTTCTATCAAGACTATAGACTGAGAAGCTAACATTAAATTCTGTTACTTAAGCTATCCTCTGTTCACTGAGGCACTTATCCTCAAAGGAAGGCATGAATCAAAAGAGACAGTAGAGTAGCACACTCCAGGCTAAAGTATGGGTGTATGAATAATTAGCTCCTTTTATCATTCATTCATTTAATCAGTAAGTATTTTTTGAGCACCTACTACCTGTCAGGCATAGTTTTAGGAGCTAGAAACAGAGCAGAGACTGAAACAAAGCCCCTTCCCTTAAACACACTAGAGATGGGCCATAAACAAATAAGCAAATATATGTATAGGTCATATAGGTCATAGGTCTCTAATATGTACTATTGTCCAAAATAACCCAAGATGGGGTTGATTAGGAATGCCAGCTTCAGAGTGGGGGTGGGAAGCCAGAGGTCTTTCTGAAACGATTACTGAGCAGAGATCTACAGTGGGTCATGCAGGCACCTAGAGACAGACAGCTCCTGGCTGAAATCTTTGGATGAACCACAACATCACAGCTAGTAGCTCAGTGATAATGACCCAGCTTCAACTAAAAATTTCCAGAGAAAGTAAAACAACATTCCGAATGTATACAATTCACGACTTCAAAAACACACTTCCAACGTCACAATTCAATGAAAAAACCAAATCACCAAGAATGGAATCTCAGAACGTATATAATTCTCAGTACATTGCTGTAAAACCAATCTGCACTGAAGAGGGCAAAAAATCAGCTGCAGAGCAAGGCCCAATGAGCTGTTTTATTGTGGACCGAAGAGAAGTGATTCCAAGCTGGAGAACAGGGAATGCTTTACCATGGCGTGTGAAGAGATGACAAACTACAATGGGGACAGGACACTTGGTGGCAGCCTTGAGGAACCATATTGTCCCACTGGAGAAAAATCTTCAGGGCCAACCAAAAGGCAAAAAAATCTTTTTTTTTTTTTAAGTTTATTTATTTCTTTTGAGATAAAGAGAGAGAGTGCACGTGCACAAGTGGAATAAGGGCAGAGAGAAAGGGAGAAAGAGAATCCCAAGCAGGCTCCACTCTGTCAGCACAGAGCCCGATGCAAGGCTCAAACTCACAAACCATGAGATCATGACCCGAGCTGAAATCAAGAGCTGGATGCTTAACCAACTGAGCCACCCAGGTGCCCCAGGACAAAAATCTTAGTCACAGCAGCTTTAGACAGGAGCCACAACTGGTCATCAGAAATGGACCTAACACGGATTCAATGAGAAAAGCCACAGCTGCACAATAATATACAAATGCCCTGTCAAAATGCCCAAACACACAAATTTATTCCATCACATAGGTCCTGGTCATGCACATGACAGGCATTCAATTCTTGATGACATAAGACGCTGCATAATATGAAACATTATGTTTAAGTTAGAAAAATGTGGTCTTAATCGCCATGCAGTTTTGTGGCGGTCAGGCTCATCTTGAATCAGAAACATCCTATCTTAATATTCTCCGCCATCATGTGGCTTGAGAAGACCTCCGTGTCAGGTCCACCTTGGGCTTAGATTTGTATTTTTATGGGCTGTATTTTCAAAGGAATGCACATGGTTGCCAACCTATCAGACACATGCTGATCAGGTAACAACACCTTCAGCAATCTGCCAGTGCAAAATTTAATGATATGACTGTGAAACTCTCACATGTTCATATTACAGAAGTTTTAGTTTTCTGGCTCTGTATTTTCTTTCCAGGACTAATAAAACATGTTGCCTCTTTATCCTGAGTTTCTTCCTATTCGTTTCCACAGAATTGTGGGCTTCCTGGGAAGGTTCTCTGGGCTCATTTTAACCACAGGAGCAATGCCAATTGTGTTGTGTTGGCTGTAGAGTGCCAGTTGTAGAAAGTGGTGCCATATTTCTTAAGGTAGGAGTTACGAGGCAATCTATACAAGACCAGTCATACGTTAACTTGTAAAAGTCGCACCAACAAAGAGTCAGCACTGGTGCTAGGTAAAGAACAGAGAGAGAGGAAAAAAATTCCTAATCTTAGGTTGACTGTGTTGACTTAAACAGTTTAATAGATTCTCGCTTGTCGGTAACATCCTAGATGTAAGTTTAGAAAATCATATTTTAAAAAGCTAGGCCCGGGGCGCCTGGGTGGCGCAGTCGGTTAGGTGTCCGACTTCAGCCAGGTCACGATCTCGTGGTCCGTGAGTTCGAGCCCCGCGTCGGGCTCTGGGCTGATGGCTCAGAGCCTGGAGCCCGTTTCTGATTCTGTGTCTCCCTCTCTTTCTGCCCTTCCCCCGTTCATGCTCTGTCTCTCTCTGTCCCAAAAATAAATAAACGTTGAAAAAAAAAAATTTTTTTTTAATAAATAAATAAAAAGCTAGGCCATATTACAGGTTAGAATCTAATAAGGATACCAAATTGAAGATGAAGGGGAAAATCAACAGAATAAGGATCGTAGCTAACATACTGTGAGAATATAAGACAATCACCAACTTCAGATTATATTCCTCTATCAAGCTTCACAGCCATATTAAACAATGAAGAAAGGTTATCACTGAGGTCATCTTCAATCAAAAGCAATTTACTACAGATCTAAGCATTGTGTTTGAAATGACTGAGTTCGTGGGGCGCCTGGGTGGCGCAGTCGGTTAAGCGTCCGACTTCAGCCAGGTCACGATCTCACGGTCCGTGAGTTCGAGCCCCGCGTCAGGCTCTGGGCTGATGGCTCAGAGCCTGGAGCCTGTTTCCGATTCTGTGTCTCCCTCTCTCTCTGCCCTTCCCCCGTTCATGCTCTGTCTCTCTCTGTCCCAAAAATAAATAAACGTTGAGAAACAAAACAAAACAAAAAAAATTAAAAAAAAATAAAATAAAATGACTGAGTTCCTACAAGTTGTTCTAGCATCGAAGCCCTGAAATGGATGGTGAAATGATAGAAAGATGGGGCATAGGGCATGTCATCAACTTTTAAAAGAGACAAACAAATTAGTGTTCTTAAAATACTAAGATTTCTCTTCAAACTTAAAGAACCTGAACCTGTAGACCAAACAGGATGAGGCATGTCTGAGTGATCAATTATGGAACACCTCAGACTGTCAGAGTCAAGATGTCATTGCACCTGAGGAATTAATTGACCATTAAGACATGTCTGGCCAACCAATTTCAAAATGGATTTTTTTTTAATTCACTGAGGATCTTGGTATTGTAAAAGTCTTCAAGTAAAACCCAGTGTCTGTAAGTCCTACAGGATGGGATGATAATTAAATGTGGAACTTGAGAAAACATACTTCCAAACTAGCCTTTTTTCTGTCTGGCAAAAAAAGGAAAGTGAATTTTAAAACTACAAACACATACATACACCAACACCAGTCTTTATTTTTCTTTATTTACTCAACCCATGAGCTTGAATTATATTTTTTAATTTCAAAAATATGCTAGCCCATATTTAAAGAGACTTCACAACCCGGAAAGATTAGGATCATATCAGATTAGTAGTGTTGGGGACTTAATCCAAGGCATCTCATTAATCCTCACAATAAACTGTAAGACATTACCACACCAGTCCTGTCAGATGGGTCATTCAGTGAAAACATGCTTGACTTGAACAGCATGAGTACTAATAAGTGTGGCAAAGTGTGTCCAACTAGCAGATGGCCTCTTGTATCTAACAAGGAGCCCCTGCTAGATCGTAACCCAGATCGTATTTTTACAGTTCACAACTTGGTGAGGATGGTGTGTTCCAGCTATCAATTACTTTCTAGGTTTCCTCTGGACATGTGTAATTTAAGCTCTAATATTCAAAACATTAGATTTAGACCAGGGAAGATCCAGCAATGTGAACAATAGACTGTAAGTCCGATGAAGACAGGGATTCACTCCTGTCTCCCAAATATCTAGGACAGTACCTGGTACAATGGAGTACGTACACTACAAATATTTGTCCCATGGATGAATAAATGACAATATACATTTAAAAGTAATGTTTGAATGGAAAGTGTCACAGTGCACATGTTTGGGACAAGAGTTCGTACTTTTCATCGGATTCTTGAAAGGGTCTTTGAGTTATGATCTGCTACTGGAAGAAATGAGGGATTCCCACGTTAAGTGGCAAGTGAAACCTCTTAGGGCTGTCAAACTTTAACATTTGATCTCAGAAAACTTCTACTTTTATAATGCCACTACGTTTACACTTCAAAGCGCATCAGGCCTAAAAGCCCGACCTCTAACCATGAGACTGAAGGTTCTCTTCCTTATAAAGGAATTCTAAATTGTATTGAACCAGAAGGGAGTCAGATGCAATCCCAAAACCTCTCATAGAGGGTAACTCCAGCTCTGCTAATAGAGGAACCCCACCCCACCCACCACCCCCCGTCTGTTTTCTGTCAAAGTCAGGCCACCAAAACAGCCTCAGTAGCAATCCACCTGGTGTGAATTTCCAGGAGGGCAAGCGGATTTAATGTGTGGCAACCACATTTTCTAGACTATTGTTTCCTGAGACCAGTTACATTATTATGTATGCTTTCTAAAAAACTAATTAATGCCTAGAGTCTATACTTTTCTGACTTATATTTATATCAAAAGTCATATATTTAACAAAACCTCCTTATTGTAAAAGGAGGATAGATTTGTGGTGACTGTAAATTCTAAATCCAAAATTTGGGATGCAAAACCTAAAAACAAATTTTGTTTTGTGAATTTACTATACTAGAAGTCATACTAAAGGGGCACATAGATGGCTCAGTCAATTAAGCATCTGGCTCTTGGTTTCAACTCAGGTCATGATCTCACAGTTTGTGAGTTCGAGCCCCACCTCAGGCTCCGTGCTGACAGTGCAAAGCCTGCTTGGGATTCTCTCTCTCCTCTCTCGCGCCTCTCCCACTCACGCACTCTCTCTCCCCCACTCT